ATATCATTATAACAATATCTATTGTAACCATATATTTTGAATTATTTATTATTATCCTCTATTGACCGCAATTGTAGCAATTGTCATTGACAAACTCTCAAAACAATTTGTCTCAGCAAAGAATGGAAATTAAAAAAAAAAATTCATTAATTTCATTATTGTTGATGAAAAGTATGTACGACACTTTATTACTCTTATTAAATTAAATTAATTAGTAGCTACAACAAAAAAAAAATAATACATATGCATTTAATTAATTTAGAATTAGATATCTATATTGCTTTATTTAAAAAAAGTTATTCATTATAAAAAAGTTTAAAAGAAATATAAATTCATTAGTTATAATATCTTTATTTTCTACAATTCAAAGATTCCTTACCTTCAAATTTATTAATTTATTATATTCACTACATTGTCCATTGTCTTCTTTTTACATTATCTTGTAATTAATATCAAAGTTACAATACAAAATATGTTATATATATTTATTTACCAAGTATTTTATACAAATATAATAAATATTAATATTTTGTTTAATACTTTCACATGATAACCTACGACACGCATCTCACAACACATGAAACATGTACGGGAAAAACTACCACTACTAAATATCAATAGGTGTTTGTAAGAAAAAGAGTTCATATTACAACTAAAATTTTAGTCATATACACATCAACGCAAATCTAGAGCTTCCTACACCATAATCTCATTGCATGATAAAGTCCTCTATGCTGCCACCAGTAACCTAATTGCATATGACACACTACCAATAAAAAAAAAAAAGATGACATATACTGACAATGACAATGCTACCCAAAAGAGAATTAAGAAGAATTAGAGAAATTTAAAACAAAAGTAGTATTTATTTGCACCAAAATTTAAACCAGAAGTATTTAGACTAGCGTTATTACAAAGTTGCAAACATTTATTTTATTGACAATTATAATCAATCACTCATATATTATCTTGAATTTATATACTTTAAATTACCGATTTAAATAAACAAATTCAACATTTATTTTCCTATGCATAAACATTTCCTATATAATATTGCATTGATATACTTTGAAATACTTATTTAAAAATAATTATTAGGCATTATCCCTTTCGCGCAACGCGTGTAAAAAAACTAGTGTTTAAAAATAAAAACCAATGCCAAACAGTATACGTATTAAAAAAAGAACAACAAAACGCAAATGAATACTAATAACCAACGAAATTGTTCAAAGCAACAACCCAGTAATAAAAAAAATGCAAAAGATTAAAATGACAATATCAAAAGAAAAAAAAAAAAAAAAAAAAAAAAAACCAACACACACGCCACACACCAAAAATATTTTTATCCTGAAAAAATAAACACACACAGTATATGTATATTAAAAACAATTTTCAGAGCAAAAAGGAGCCATAATAATAAATACATAAAAAAAATAATCGACATCACCAGTAGGTTACAACACAATGAACTTGAAAGAGTGCAGGCATGACAACCCCCAAACCCAAAGCACCCCACAACAACCACAACGAAAATCTTAACAAACAAATACATAACTACGCACAAAACCAGAAAACAACGACGCACAAAAAATATATATTGGAACCAACTAACATAAACACCTGGATGATCAATAACACCCACACGATGAATAAAAGCAAAGAAAAATGAAGAGGCAGTAAACCCAAAGCAACCCAACCAAAACACAACAGAATATCTAATACACGAATACAAAAGAAACCTTAATTACCATATTTAAGCCAACTACAAACATGCAGATCACCCAAAATAAAATAAACCACTAAAGGACAAAAAAATACAAAGACTAAAAAGCACCCCACTAAAGTGACGACAATAATTAAAAAAAAAAATCCTCCCAAAAGTAACCCAAAAAACAATAACTGTGACACCCCAAAAATCCACATTCAACCCATGGATTAATTGAGTAATTAATCCTATTTTATTTGAGAAATTAATTCCTAAAATCCTGATTTTTAATACTCAAGGACTAGTATTTGACTAGTCAACCTTAAAGTTGTGTTGTACCTTGAGCTTTGAGGGGAGTTCCCTTGTTCCTTACACTTTCTAAAGGTTAGTAAGGGTATTATTGACTTTTCACCAAGAGTTAGTATTGTAACCTAACCTAGAAGACTTCTTCATTTCATTCCTTACAATTCCTAGAAATTAGCTCTACCTTCTCTCTAGAAAAGAAGTGTAGCTTATTCCCCAAGCCAAGTTGAGACCCTTGTCAAGATCCCAAGATTTGCTTCCAAGATTCAACCGTTCACCTATTTGGGCATCTAGGAGGGTAACATCGAAGTCCATCTTGTGTTTTTGGTTTCATCTTAGTTGTCTTTTTCTAAAAAGTAGGATCTTTATGATCTTTTGGTTTGATCTTGAAGTGGGTTTGGATAGTAAGCCTTGTAAGGAGCTTGTTGAGGTGTAAAGTGAAGTCTTTTGGTCTACAAGAGGTAACCCATGCTCTACTTAAACCTATTTTGCTTACCTATATGTGATTTCTTGGATTCTACTTGTGCTTTGCTATGAAATGTGAGGGTTTATGCATTCGTCTTGTGATATTGCATATCTAGAGCTTGTGTTTAGGGTTCCTTTGTGCCATTGCTTGGCATTTTCCATGATTCAAGTCATTTTGTTGTGTTGGGTGAGATTTGGCACGTTTTGGACTTGAATTTGTGTTTGGAGAAGAAAATCCCCGAAGGGATTTGTTGTGGTACAAGTGTGTACCAGCGGGCGGAACGGCGGGCGGGGCACCACCCGCCGGCCTACCGCGGGTACATGGCCTTGTGGGATGATGGTCCCGCGCGCGGAACCACGGGTGGGGCACTACCCGTGGGTCCACCCGCGGGTACATGGTTGGTGTTGTGATGGGATTTGTTCCCCGCGATTCTTTTGACTCGGTTTTTGGTCTTTTGACTTCCTGATGTTCTTTTTTGGAACTATTTGAGCGTCTTCTTGATGTTTCGTATGTCTAGAACTATATGGTAGGTATCCATGTAGGACTTTGGTGTCCTGAATCGTGCTAAGTGTTCAACATTGTGTTTCGTTGGACCGAGAGGTGTCTTGTGTGTTCCTCGGAACTATCTTGAGTTTCTCCGTTGTTAAGCATGCTATTTTATTGTCTTAATGCTAGCGTGTGTGTGGTTTCTACCTTCCGTTTGGTTGATGATAACTTGTGTTATTCATCGTTGATGTTGTTGGGCTGTGACCCGTTCCTTGATTGAGTATGTTTCATACCTTCGTTGTGATCCGTTGTTTGACTCTTGTTGAGTTGTGGTGTGTGTGTGGCTTTAACTGGATTGCACAATTAGTGGTATGAGACACTAGTCACCAAGGTATTGCAACGGTCCTCGTGGTGGTCGTGGCGTGATTATGGAGCTGTGGCCTTTGTGTAAGGTTCACGTTTTTGGGGGATAACAGGTGTTATACGGGAATGTGTGCTATGTGCGTGTGCGGTACCTCGTGTACTATGAATTGGTGGTTTTATTGGTGGTTTGTTGGTGGGGGACGACTGTCCCAGGAGGGATAAGGTTGGACTAAGAAGTACAGGGGGTCCTGGAGGTAATGGTTGGAAAGAAGATACAAGGCTGGGGGTAGCCATAAGGTTGGAACAGGGCATAAGGAAGGCATATCAACTCGTGGCGGGTGATGTCACGAGCGCTTATGTAGCCTTGCTTGTGTATTCTCTTTCTTGTGACGTGTGTAGTCACAAGGGCATGTGTTGCCATCGGTCTTGTCTTTATCCTTTGCGTTGTGGTTATCCTTTGTAGTTTTGGGATGAGTTCCCGTATCTTTGTTGACGAGTGTTGAGTCTTGAGTTGGTGTTTACTCTTGGTTATACACTTATATATATGTATTCCGTTTCGAAATGATTTTGGTATATACACTACCTATGTATGATACTTAACAGGTATTGGTGGGTTACCAGCATTATCGCTGACCGGGCGTCGTCCCAATGTTTATCTTTGTATCTTTCAGGTGATGTCTAGACGAGAACGATGTTAGTGGCCGGTAGTCTAGTATCTTTACCTTTGTTTTGTGGCCCGTGTGCCGTTGTAGCGTTAGACTGTTACCTTTTGGGATAGATGTATACACTCGCAGATTGATCGTCGTAGCGTTTACCATGTTTGGTAGACGTGGCATAACACCTCGTTTGGATTTCTTTTATCCAGTCCTCATTTTTATCTTCCGTTGTGCTAGTTTTGTTGTATGATCTGCATGTGTTAAGGCTTTTTATATAGCATGTTTGAGGGGGTGTTACAGTTGGTATCAGAGCCTAGGTTTTGAGCCTAGGAAGGGTTAAGTCTAGACTTTCTAAGTGGTTAAGTGTGTTTTGAGACCTCTAAGCGACCTTAAGAAGCTAAGTGTTAGGCTTAGGACTCTAGGTTGCGCGGTGAGCTGTGTTGTTTTCTGTCCTTTGTTTGTTGCTTCTTTTATCGTGTTGTTGTTGTAGAAGTTGCGATGCCTCCTAGTCCTCGCGCGCGCACCCCGGAGACCCCGACCAACGAGCATCTCGCTCATAACCTTCAGCAGCTGACTCAGACCATGCAAACGCTCAGTGAAGCTCTGTTGAACAACAATCACGCTGCGCTGCCTCCTCCCCCTACTGAGCACCGTGACGTAGGACGTTTAGTGTCAGGTCATCTGCCGCCCAACCTTCGCTGCCGAGGAAGACGTCTTAGAAGAGTGGCTACGGGTGTTTGATAAGATCTTCACCGTGGTGGGCTGCCCCGAAGAAAGGAGAGTAGAACTAGCAACGTTCTACTTTTGTCAAGAAGCGGACTTGTGGTGGGTCCACGAAGGCCCGGCTCTTCTTGAAGAACCAGAGTTCGGCTGGACAGCGCTCAAGGACCGGATGCGTGAAAGGTTCTACCCGGCACATGTGCGCGCTGCCATGTACGAAGAGTTCCTCCACCTGCAGCAAGGGTCCATGTCTGTGGTTGAGTACCACAAGAGGTTCTTGGGGCTGGCACGTTTTGCGAGGATGCTTGTGCCTACGGAACTCACCAAAGTCGAGAAATTCGTGGCCGGTCTGAACTATAAGGCGCGAAAAGCTTTGACTGTGAGTAGGCCGAGTTCTCTTAAGGACACTTACGTGTGCGCCGCTGATCTGTATCGCGTGCAGCAGCTTCAGAGGGGTTCGTTTGAGCAAGCTAGGAAGAGATCTGAGGGCGGAAGTTCTTCTACCTTCAAGAAGTCAAAACCGAGTTTCCCGGCCAGGATCGTGTCATCTTCTTCTCAAGGACCTATCAGGATGGAGCACGGGAACCAAGCTAAGGAATCCCTTTGTCAGCGTTGTGGGAAGATGCATGTGGGTCAAGGTTGCAATGGCTTTGCGTTCAGGTGTTTTCGTTGCGGAGATCGTGGCCACAAGATCGCGGAGTGTCCCCAGTTAGCCGGCCAGAGAGCGTTACCGCCACCCCCGGGAGCCGGAGGGGCATCGGGAGCTGGTTCGGGCCGTGGAGCTGTTGGAGCAAGGCCACCGGGAAGAGTCTTCGTGATGGCGCGTTCGCAGGCGGAGTCGGTGGGCTTGGTGGAAGAAGAGTTGACAGGTAACCCTTGTCTTCGAGTCTATCCTTGTTTTCCCGAGAGTGTTGTGTTCTTTGTTGCCTTGGGTGTTATCTTGTGTTTCGTAGTTGTCTTTTGCTTGGTAATCCTTGGCATGCTTTTCTTGCTAGTAATTCCTTGGAGCTTAGTGTAAACTCTTTTCTTGCTAAGTGACTTCTTTAGTTGGCATCTAAGTCTTGTTGTGAAGTAGCCATCTATCCTTGGAATATCTTGTGCTTAGACCAATTCTACAATCCCTACACTTGGGTGTCCTTACAACAATTCCTTGTGAACGTCCTAAATTTTCCAAGTATTCTTTAAATTTGGAAATAGCAAAATTCTTGCCAAAATTCTTTCTTGTGCATTCTCAAAATCAAGCCTAAAATTTAATTGTGACCTTTAAGTGTTCAACCCAAACCTATTCCTTTTCAACCCAACTTCTAATCCACTTGAGCTAAATTTCTTTCTTAGAACCTATCCAATTTTAATTCCTTCTAAACCATAAATTCCCACTTTACCCAAAATCCCCAAATTTAATCATCTTTTTCCCAATTTCTCCCAAATCCCTAAATCCCCAAAATTTTCTCTCCTTCTCCTTTTCCTTCCTCTCTACCCGTGAACACCCTAAGCCTCATCCCCAACCCGTAGCTCCACCACCATCAACCCGTCGCCCCACCACCACCGGACCACCGCCACACAGCCGTCGCTACAGCCGGAGCTGCCGCCGCCATCGCTGATCTGCTGTCCACCGCGTCGCCGAGCAGCCGCGAGAGAGAGAAAGAGAGAGAGAGAGAGAGAGAGAGAGGCAGCGTGAGTGAGAGGTAGAAGTTGTGGGCTTTGTTTGTTGAGCTTTGGGTCATCTCTCGCCATGCCTAGAAGGTCAAGCTTGGCTAGAAAAGCGGAACGGGTGGATGGCCACTACCTTGTTCTTGAAGGTAAAGCCTTTGATCCGGAATCTTTTTCTAGTTCCTTGTTGGATATGATTAGGTATCAAGGTTTGTTGGATGGGTTTCTCGCCATAAGGGCCGAGACATACCCGAGTTTGGTGAAAGTGTTTTACGGTCACATGGTTGTGACGAAGGAGGGTGAAAGGCTTGAAATCACCTCTAAGTTGAGAGGTGTAAAGGTTGTGCTTTCTGAGAAGAGGTTGGCTCAGTTGTTGAGTTTGTCTGCTACCGAAGTGGCTCAGTACAGTGGTCATTCTTGGATTAGTACGGATACCATGGGGTACCGTGACTACTTGAGCTACTTGTTAGGTTGGACGAGTGATTTCACTCAAGCCTCTAGGCCGGAGAAGAAGTGGTTGTCTGCGGAGCAAAGGATCTTGGTGATGTTGGTATCAGACTGTCTGTTGCCAAACAATAACAAGAGCAAGTTGATGGGTAAGCTGGAGTGCACTTTTGCTTTCTGTCTGAAGAATATGGTTAAGTTCAACTTGCCTGCTTTGATGTTGCAACACATGGTGTTTTGTCGCGATCACAATCGGAAGAGTTTGCCTTATGGAATGGTGTTGAGCTGGATCTTGGTTAGGAAGGGCGTCCATGTGGATGGTTGTCTTCCTAAAGCTGTGGGGAAGCTGGTGTTGGATGCCACCAACCTTCGGAGTTGTAACCTATTTCAGCTGGATGACGGTGAGTATATCACGCTTGAAGAAGTGGCAAGGAAAGCACCTGATGAACGGGCGGAGTTAGCAGCTGAGCTTGGAATCCATGCTGGAAAGTTGAGCCTCGCTGTTCAGAGCTTGGGAGGTGACGAAGAAGCCGAAGAGAGTGATTCGGATAGTGAAGAGAACCGATGAAGAAGGGAAGCTCGCACCAAGAGGGAGCACGACCCCATGTCGCACGAAGAGCGCGTTGTTGCTTTGCTTAGTCAGCAGAACCGCATGTTAGAGGAGGGTTTTGCTTTCATGAGGACGCAATTCGTTGCTGTGCACCATCGGCTAGATCAGATTGAAGCCAGCTCGAGTCATCAAGGAGAAACCGAAGAAGAGTCCGAGGAGTCGGAGAGTGAGTCTTTCTAGTAGTTGTGTTTACCTTGTTCGCCTTTCTCTTGTAGTTGCTTTCTTTGGCATTGTCGCCGTTGTTTGGTTGCTTGTTGTTGCTTTTGTGTTTGCTTTGCTTGTAGCCTTGTGGCTTAGTTAGCTTTGTAGTGGTAGTGGTGTTTGGTGTTGGTTGTCTTGTCCTTAGTGTTTGGAAGAAGTAGATGGTGGTGTCCATCTTGTGTTTTTGGTTCCATCTTAGTTGTCTTTTTTTTTTAAAAGTAGGATCTTTATGATTTTTGGTTTGATCTTGAAGTGGGTTTGGATAGTAAGCCTTGTAAGGAGCTTGTTGAGGTGTAAAGTGAAGTCTTTTGGTCTACAAGAGGTAACCCATGCTCTGCTAAAACCTTTTTTGCTTACCTATGTGTGATTTCTTGGATTCTACTTGTGCTTTGCTATGAAATGTGAGGGTTTATGCATTTGTCTTGTGATATTGCATATCTAGAGCTTGTGTTTAGGGTTCCTTTGTGCCATTGCTTGGCATTTTCCATGATTCAAGTCATTTTGTTGTGTTGGGTGAGATTTGACATGTTTTGGACTTAAATTTGTGATTGGAGAAGAAAATCCCCGAAGGGATTTGTTGTGGTACAAGTGTGTACCCGCGGGCGGGGCACCACCCGCCGGCCTACCCGCGGGTACATGGCCTTGTGGGATGATGTTCCCGCGGGCGGAACCACGGGTGGGGCACTACCCGTGGGTCCACCCGCGGGTACATGGTTGGTGTTGTGATGGGATTTGTTCCCCGCGATTCTTTTGACTCGGTATTTGGTCTTTTGACTTCCCGATGTTCTTTTGTGGAACTATTTGAGCGTCTTCTTGATGTTTCGTATGTCTAGAACTATATGGTAGGTATCCATGTAGGACTTTGGTGTCTTGAATCGTGCTAAGTGTTCAACATTGTGTTTCGTTGGACGGAGAGGTGTCTTGTATGTTCCTCGGAACTATCTTGAGTTTCTCCGTTGTTAAGCATTCTAGTTTATTGTCTTAATGCTAGCGTGTGTGTGGTTTCTACCTTCCGTTTGGTTGATGATAACTTGTGTTATTCATCGTTGATGTTGTTGGGCTGTGACCCGTTCATTGATTGAGTATGTTTCTGTAACACCCCGTGTTACGGCCCCTAAAACCAATTAATTAATTAACTCATAGCCCAAGTGAAAGAATAAATTATAATAATTAATTAGGGAAGAAGGCCCACCATAATCCATGGGCACTTATCCCTAAACTCAATCCTTAGTTCCAAAAGAAATAGAATTAGCAAGCCCATAATATTAGTTCCTAACTAGGACTCCTAAATATATAAATAGGGGACTTAAGGGGCACCTAGAAACCCCCCACCACAAGAATAACGCCCACCACCCCAAAGAGCTCCAAGAATCCCCCTAGAAGAAATCAAGAAAGCAAGAAAGCTTAAAGAAAGACCCTTCATAGACAAGGAATTAATTAAGGCTAAGAGGTAACCCATGTCTCAACAAAACCTATTTTCATAGCTATGATTTCCCCGGATTTCCCCATATTATTGTGTATTGATGATTCGCGATATTGCTATTGATGATTGATGGGATAATTCCATGGGTGATCTTGATATTGAGAGATTCTTGATAATTATGATGTCCTTGACGATTATGTGGAGTTCTTGATGTTCATATGTCATTCTTGATAATTGTATATGCTTATGTGTTATTTGCACCGAATCCTGTAATTGGAGGACGAATCATATTCTTGTGGGTATAAAAGTGATTAGGACCCTAGGTTGTATCGTATGATATCATTCTTGGTTTATCGGGTGGGAAATTGCATGTTTGGGGTGTTGATTATGTTAGAAAAGCATGATAGGTTATGTGTCGTACGTTCCTCGTATTTGATCCGTTAATTGACTACGTGTTGATCGTTAATTGCGTTGTAAAGTGTCTAAGCATGGTTTCGGGTTCCACAATGGTTCCCGGGGCGTTTTTGTGATGAAAAGAGTCAGTGGAGGGTAGGTGGGGGTAGGGGACCCGCCACCTACCCGCGGCCAAGTCGGACAGTCCCGGCAGCGGGCAGCCGGCGAGCGGGCAGCTGCCCACCGGGCACCCGCTGCCCGGAACAGTACACGCCGGCGGGCAGCCGGCGGGTGGACCCCCACCCACCGGCTACCCGCTGAAAAATACCCCAACCCGGGGTTTCGGCTTCCCCGTTTGATGTTTCCCCGACCCCCGTGGTGTCCCAATGGACTCCGTCTATCGTGCTTATGTCTAGTTTGATATTTCGGGTACCGTTCGTAGGTTGTATGAGTCTTATATATTGCATGCTAGTTGAATTGGTATCCCGTTGACCTAGGTGAAAGGAGTATGAACCCCTTAGGACCATTCTTAGTATGTGAAGGATCACGTATAGGTTTTGTTATACGTTTTCTCCCCCTTCCCAATGTGTTAATGTGGGTTGCATGTACTTGCTATGTGTTATGTGTGCATGTACTTGCTATGTGTTATGTGTGCATGTAACCCCGAATTGGTTAAGATCAATCGGGCTATACGGGCAGTCGGGTGGGCTGAGAACCATACCGGCTGTTAACCAGGCTGGTAGAGACCGGTCAGGTATATAAATATTATATAGGATTAAGTTCCACTATACGGGCAGTCGGATGGGCTGAGAACCATACCGGCTGTTAACCAGGCTGGTAGAGACCGGTCAGGTATATAAATATTATATAGGACAAAGGTCCACTATACGGGCAGTTGAATGGGCTGAGAACCATCCCAACTATTAACCAGGCTGGTAAAGACCGGTCAGGTATATAAATATTATGTAGGACAAAGGTCCATCAGTCGGTTGCGATCGGCTCCTCCGTAATGTGAGACGGGGCAGGGTGCTGCGGGGCCGTGTCAGAGCTATATGCGCTGACCATCATGTATGGGCATGCGATTGGTCCTGTGGCGCCAACAAAGTGTGCTTTGTGATGAGATATGGATGAGTTGTGTTTATGAGTAT